GGAGCTAGACTGTTATGGGGGATGGAAATGGATGTACTGTTTTGGATGGTTGGAAATATTTCCATGATTAGGTTGCAAGGCAGAATGCACTATCGCATTATGGATTTTGTAAAGCAGGCCAAATGTGACAACAGTGGAAAGTTGTCCTATTATGTAGATTCCATGACAAATTGTCACTTTGTCATATTACACAGAAGTCAATTAAACCAGCTTTCATGACGAGCTATACTTGTCATAAAACGCAGTTACGACAAAATCGCCCCGTCACAATTATAAGTTATGACAAAATATGTTCATCCTAATGTACACAAATGAAAAAATTGATTTGTCATAGAAGCAGTTATGACATAGGATATTCGTCATAATATAAATTATGACAAAATCAATTAGTCACAACAGTGGGATGTAAGAGTACAAAGCTAGTAATATGACAAAATTAATGACACAAAATGTTGTCATAATAGATCCATTTGTCACATTTTAAACATATCCTGACAAATAAATATTTTGTCATAATAGGCGTGGGACAAATTACTAACCTTTTATGGCAAACTTTGTTCGTCACAAAATCATGTTATGACAAACTATGATCGTCTAATATGACAAACACTTTTCTAAAAATTAACAATTTATGACAAATATAATAACAACAATATTCATCATAATTTCTCTGTTTGTCACAATAGACCACCCAGAACCTCATATATAACGGCACCAGATGTGACAAATGTTGTTCAAAAATTTGTCACATTTGACCTATCTTGACGGCGATAAAATGACAAATCCTTGTGCCAAAAGCATTTGTCATATAAGGTCAAATATGACAAATAAGGTATCTAATATGACCAAATGGACGCGTCATAATAGGCCGAATTTGTTGTAGTGTACATCTCAGTGTCCATACTTAGATACAATGCCCGATGGTGTTAAAGAGTACACCAAGTGGAAATTCATTGGGTACAATGCAACGGATCTGACAATGCAAGATAAAGATTTCCCTCCTAATTAAAGGAGTATAATATCAATGACCTCAATAGACATATACGAGATCGATGCGAAGATGGATCTATATCAAACATGATAGATCCATGAATGGAATCTCCTCATGATAATCTGTAACAAAATATTCATAGTTTGCAATATGTTCACAAAAGAGGATGACTAAGTTCCTTTCTCCTTGTTGACTTGGGTGAAGATGTGCTTCTAGGTGTTGCTAAGGAAAAATTCAAAAACCCTAATTCTAAATCTTTCATATGCACGGTAGGGTTGCAATGATTCCATTGTTACAGAGAAACAGTTGGAGCTATTGATAACAACAAGGGCTACAACAACTTGGTAGGAGCATATACTATTATGATGACTTTGGCGAAGATGACTGATCGTTAAGCAAATTGATTTTGATAGTCTATGATGGTCGATACACGATGATACATCGTTGCACCAATTCACACATCAGCTTGATGTTTAACAACTTCGAGGAGGATAGGGTAGCAATGGAGGGTTGTTTTGATCAAATATTGAGTACAAGGTTGTGCTCGAAAGATAAGGCAATTGATGTAGAGCCGTTCAAATGTCATCATCATCATCATCTTACTATCTTAATTGGTAATATCAGAGGTTAATTATCGTATAGTGCATTAGCATAATTGATAATACTAGAAGGCGTAAGTGCATCATCAGTCATAGTGCATCATTAGTCATCATCGCCTCCCCCTGTAAACCGTCTTGTGCTAGTACTTCTGTCCCCGGAGTGCTAATCTCCTCCTCCTCTTCCTCCTCCACTAAGGCATCAAAGCGGGTTCCAGAGCTAGGCCTTGACGATTGAGGAGGTTGTGTCTGGCCAGTTTTAGTAATATCAGTGCGCTTACTCACCGATTTTCGTGACCGTGGCTTGGCTACCATCCATTCCCCATAAACCTTAGGCGGGTTCGGCGTCTTAGGAGCAGCTTCTTCCAACTCTATTTGCTCCTTCTCTGGTTGCTTGAAAAGGGAAGGGCACGTCTTAACTGTATGTCCGTACCGCCCACATTCAGTGCAGATTTGATGCAGCCCTTCAAACTCAATATAGTATGTCAACCCTTCTATCTTAAACAGCGAGAGGAGGGGCTTAGTAAGATAAACTTCGACACAAACACGAGCAAATATTCCCATATCCCCATTCTGAGTAGGTCGATCCACTTTGACGGGGCGACCAATCCTGGAGGCGATACGCTCCACAACCTCCCTGTTAATGAATTCAATTGGAATCCCCGAGAACCATGCCCACACCGTGGTCGATGCCACTTCAACAGTCTTGGGATTGAATCCCTTCCTCCAAGGCCGAACAGTCAGGTAGTGCCCACCAATCATCCAAGAACCTCCTGTCGCAGCCTGTTCATAGTCCATTTGGCTAGTAAATGGGACAAGATAGAAACCCCGTGATAAACTCGATATTTTTAACGTTCCACACTTTGCCAATAATGACTCCAGCCTCCAGGAGACAACCTGAAATGGAAAGGACCTACCCAACGCTTTAACAATCAAGGCAGAACGTCATTTGCGATGGTATCGATGCTTCTCCATCGCCTTGAAAGGTATGGTTGGACATCTCGGATCGTCATTCTCTGGGATTTCATCATCCATACCATCCTCCTTCAACGCAGCTGCAACGTCTTCGGAGTCTGATTCGGCTATATACTATAAATCCTCAACGAGAACTTTGCTAAAGAGCTTCCGCAGGCCCGACGTTCAAGCCGTCGAACGCTGCTGGCCCTCACGGCTTTGCGGAGAGAAGTCCTCTACTTGCATGGGCTCTGACTCTGGATTCGCAGTATCTTCCACCATCGGCGAGCTCTCAAAAAGGGGGTTCGAGCTCATCGATTTCACACGTTTCTTTGCTTGTTGGCAGTGGCGTAGCCAGGATTTTACTTAAGGTGGGTCCGACATAAAAATAAAATTATATAAAATGAATGAAATGACCTATAACGCGTTTCATAGTCTGTCGACATATTTTCGTTGGAAGGTGGATAATTCGATACTAAATTAGAAATTAGTAAATTTATAATATATAATTAGGGACACAGTTTTATATAAAGTGAAGAGTTATTTATATAATATGCAAGGTTCATGTGTACCACAAAGTTTTCTAAAATTTATTTGTAGATAAGTAAAACCAGTAAACATGATGTAATAGGTTCCAGAGTTATTAATTGTGTACAAATATTGTTATCTCTGTAATAATTTAGCAAGGATTGTAAATTCGTAGCAGTGGTTGTACTAAAAAAGTCAATAGTATGATATTTATGTTGAAGCCATGGTTTAATCGTGATTCAACCATTTCATACTACTAAAAAACCATCTACGATTTAAAATTCAATAGAAGGTTTTCTTGATCGAACCACCTATACAATACAATTTTACAAACACTATAATCTTGAGCCAAGGTGGGTCCCGGGACCCACCTTGTTATGAGCTGGCTCCGCCACTGCCTGTTGGGCTCCCTGTCCGTTTTGCCATTAGGGGACGAAGTTGCGGATGGAAGCCGCCGAGAGCCGGCATCTGAATCAGTTGGCCGGGGTACCGGGGGAGAGGCCCCCGGTCCGGCAGCGCTCATTGTAGATGGCGGCGACGCATAGGGTCGGGACAGAGAAAAGTGCCGCTCCGGAAATATCGGAGCTGTAGGGTTTCCAGTTGTTCCTTGCTAAGAACTAACTGAAGCCTAGAGTCGTTAATTGCATTTTCTTTGCTTTTATGCAAGATGGTGGTAATAAGGAGAAGCGAGTTAAGTGACACCTTTGATGAATTTTTAAGGATAAAGGACTTGTTGGTTGGGTTGATCCGCAGCCGAGATACGAGACATGGATACCTATTTACGGGGAACTTATAATGTGATCACAATGTTCTAAGTAAGTAAGAATTCCTAGAGTTGAGTTTATCAGAAGTTACTACATCTAAGTGTCCATACTTTGATACTATGCCTGATGGTTAAATAGTGCACCAAGTGGATAGTCATTGGGTACAAGCACTAGGCAGTAGGTATGTAAGGGATCTGACAATGCAAGTTAAGGATTTCCCTCCTAATTAAAGGAGTATAATATCAATGAGCCCTTCGATGAATATTGTCTACGAAGTGGCTGGCCAAGCCAAGTCAAATGATGTGTTCATTTGAGCTTGAACTCAATAGACATATGTGGGATCGATGCGAAGATGGATCTATATCAAACATGATAGATCCATGAATGGAATCTCATCATGATAATCTGTAACAAAAGAATCATAGTTTGCAATATGTTCACAAAAGAGGATGGCTAAGTTCCTTTCTCCTTGTTGACTTGGGTGAAGATGTGCTGCTAGGTGTTGCTCAGGAAAAATTTAAAAACCCTAATTCTAAATCGTTCATATGCACGGTAGGGTTGCAATGATTCCATTGGTATAGAGAAACAGTTGGAGTTCTTGACAACAACAAGGGCTACAACAACTTGGTATGAGCATATACTATTATGATGACTTCGGCGAAGATGACTCATCGTTAAACAAATTGATTTTGATACGTCTACGATGGTCGATACACGATGAGACATCGTTGCGCCAATTCCCACATCAGCCTGATGTTTAACAACTTCGAGGAGGATAAGTAGCAAAGGAGGATGGTTTCGATCAAATATTGAGGACAAGGTTTTGCTCGAAAGAGAAGGCAATTGATGTAGAGCCGTTCAAATATCATCATCATCTTACTATCTTAATTGGTAATATGAGAGGTTAATTGTCGTATAGTGCATTAGCATAATTGATAATACTAGAAGGCGTAAGTAGCAGTAGCATAGACAAATAGATTCAAACATAACAAGCCATCTACTGCAAACTTCAGTCCACAAAGGCACAAACAATCTCTGACCAAAACAAAACAGAGTTCCCCTGCCTCAACTGGAACCCAAAACAACAAAGAGGGAGGGAATGGACAGAACAAAACTGCAGCACTTCTTCTAAGAAGCCAAGCCACGCACAAGAAACTCTCTGGTTTTTCAGACACAAACAAGAGTTCTTTGGATCCCGATGAGCAAGTATTCGGATTTAGCAGCAGCAAACGAAGGAGAGGAATCAACGAAAGTGAGGGAATCATCGGAAGAGAAAGCGTCGAAGCTGTTGGCGTCAATGGTGAAATCTCTATCCTCTTCGGTGATGGTATCCAGCATCTTGGATGATGCTCTGCGCCTCATGATACTAACGTACCGTGGCGGTGCTACCTCTGTGATGAACTTTGCTATGTGGGAATTCGCCATTTTGCTTTATTCTCTGGATTACTACTAAAGTTTCTCACTTGCTACCGAAAAAGAGCAGAAACAGAGGAACTAGTTTGTGTTGTTGTTGTTGTTGTGTAGGAGACTCAAGTTTGGGAATTGGGATGATGAGAAGGAATAGAGCAACTATGGCTGTCAGATTTATAGGCTAAGTTGGAGGGGTGGAGTTACGTAACTGGTCAAGCCAGGGATTGGGGGGTAACGTGATGGAGATTAAAGTAGTATTTGATCAGCTAGTGCCGCCTCTTGCTTTTGGTATTAAATTGCAGTAGTGGTGACAGATGGGCGAGAGAGATAGATCGATGTGTTTCTAGCTAGGTAGCTAGTTGGTCTCTTGAAGAAGAAAGAACATTTGAGAGATGGGTTTATGTGTCGTCATGGGTATCGTGGGATTAGATGAGGAGAGGAGATTACCTTTCCAGAGAGAGGGATTTGCTACCTTCCAAATGAGCACTTTTCTAGCTTTATGAGGGGATCTTAGTAAGATCAGCAAAGGAGTTAGTGGTTAGGTACTTAGGTTAGATGGTTTAACCAGAGTAATCAGGTTTTGATATCATGTCCGTCAAATATTGAGTGTTGAAATCCTACTAATATGCGAATTTGAGAGAGGGATATGATCCATGATCAACCTAGCTAGAGTAATTCAATACTTATTTGTTTGGTCATCCCTACTAAATTAGATAGTAGGATTTGCTCTAACAAAATAGAGATAGGCATGCGAGTATTGTAATCCATAGGGGTGGAGAGCCGGTCGGTTCGGTTATAACTGATAACCGAAAGGATTGGTTATTAGTCAACCGAACCACCTCCCAACCCAACCGGCCACCGACCAAAAGAGGGCTTAAGCCTTTGGTTATCACGGTTTTTGGTTAACCGAACACCCCCCAAGGCCAAAACCAAATCACCCAGCCTCCGAACACCGACCAAATTTCGGTTATCTCGGTTATCGATTAGTAAATAACCGGCCAATTTCGGTTATAACCGGTCTGTTAACCGCTAACCGGTTGTCCAGCCCTAGTAATCGATGAAACTAAACCGTTGTGATGAAAAAGACCAAAAATTTCTGTCTACATGAAATTGTGTTATTTTGGCCCAACCACTGATCAATGTAAAACTCGGTGGTACCTTTCATGGGGACGGGTTAGCATGCTAACCCCCTTAGGGGTTGGAAAAATGACACCCCCTAGTATATTAAATACAACTATAGAATTTAATACACACATTAAATACACATTAGGAATTAAATGTACCATATTAATTAGGAATTCTCTCACTATTAAATTCACATTAGGAATTAAATACACACATTAAATACACATTAGGAATTCTCTTACTATATTTTATTTTTCCTTTTTCAGCAGTCTCCGACCACCAGACTTCCTCCGACCGCCACACTTCTCCGGTGAAAATCCCATCGGCAGACTCCCTCCGACCACCTCCAAAAAATATACCACTGCACTGATACGGTGTACCACTGTACTGGTAGATATACCACTGCACTGATACGTTGTACCACTGTACTGGTAGATATACCACTGCACTGGTAGAGATATCAGTGCACTGGTAGCAATGTCATATCTGAGTATCAGTGCAGTGGTACAAATACCAATAAAATAGTAATTAATGTGGTGTATTTAATGCTTATTTTGTATTTAATACCAGAACATTTATTATGTTTACTTTCATTAATACTTGTCAATAATTAATGAAAAATTGACCAATTAAAGGGGGTGTCAAAAAACCAACCCCTTAAAGAGTTAGCATGCTAACCCGTCCCACCTTTCATGCTCTCTATTTGATTATTTGACAAGGAGGTAATTCTATTGAACTTGAGTGCCGTAGCTGACAGGTAGCGTTGTTTGTTGACTGGTGCAATGGCTGGCCAATAGCTAGCTATATGCCCCTCTTCGCAGGGAATTAACGGTCCAAAATTGGCTGCTAGACAAAGTGTAGATTATTGCTGAAGTTAAGCTTTAGGATGATGATGGTCCTAGAATTGAATATTTCATTTAATTTGCAGAGACTATGGATTATAAGGTCATAATAGGAAGATTCAGACATTAAGCTCATGAGTTGACTTTCGTTTGAAAAGGTGTATAACAGAGTAACATAAGATTTATAATTAAACTTCTCTCAACAACTGAGTTATTGAAATGAAATGATTTAAAACAGGCCATAATTGACTTGATATTAAAGGTATTTTTATTTTTCACCCGAGAAATCTCTTATCTTAAAGTTGACAACCCCAACTAACAATTGATTTAAGTTGAAGAATGATAGGTTTGTATAATTCAAGCACACATTACTTGAGTGGTACCATATATGTTCTTCGGACATCAGTTTACATTACATGTAAGAGAAGTGAAGTATATGTTTGAGCTTTAACTTGACAACTGTTGTAATTTGTAAAGGAAGGACACAAGTTTTCTGGGAATTGTTTGACGATTGAAACTTCTGTCTTTCCTGCCCTAACGCATTTAGCCTTTTATGATCGGTTGCCTCTTGTCCATGGACGTATTCACCAACAGGCACATGCCATTTATGTCCTACCGACACAGCAACAGCCAACAGCAACAAGGTTCCGTCGAGACACAAACAGCTAGCTAGGGACTAGAGTGACCCAGCAGCAGAGCAAAGACAGATGAAGAGCTTGGTAGCTAGCTGTAGCCAGCCAGTTTCCAAATGATAGAGCAGATGTTGCATGTGAACCAGGACACCCCGTGATACAATGTATATAAACGACGTTGATGGCTAGGTTGATGAGTCGGAGTCCGATCAGAAAGGTCATGAAATGATCAGACCTACCGATGCATGAAACGACAAATGGAACCTTTAAGAAAATTAAAGGACCTTTGTAGGGATGACAACAGGAGGGATTGAATCGAGTTTCTCTAAAACCAACTCAATGAGTGTACCCACAAAAATATATGGTAATATAATAATTAAGCTTTAGAAGAGAAAATTCAACTCAACTTCGACGGGTATGAAGGGGTTCATGAATCATGAGTATTCATGGGTTTACTAACATAACTACACATTATTGTTTCGAATATCCATGTTGTAATGTTATAAAAAATATTCCCGTCAAGACTAATAACTTCTATAGAGATTATCCATATTGTTAGGATTATATTGTTATAAAGACTAATAACATTCGTAAATCATCCACACTATTAAGGTTAGACACAAAATGACATCATTATACTTTATTGGTGCTAACCAGGTGAAAAGAAGGCTGCGATTTGACAAATCCAACCCAACCCACCAATTTTAACATGTAAAATTCACACTCGACCCAAAATTCATCAACATTGATTTTTTCACGCTGTAACCAATTGGGTCGAGTACCTGTGAATTCAATTGTCATTACTCATTACTAAGCGGGTGAAGAACACACAGAAAGAAAATAAAACATAGAAGAAAATGAAGTCTGTTATTGAGCCCATATAAGAAATGGTAAAGCTCGTACAAAGCCCACCACCAGCGAGGCCCGCAAGTGAAAAGCCCTACCAACTTAAATTCATCTTTCGACAAAGATGATGAACTCGCTCTCCCCCGAAATGGGTTAATATTGTTGACGTTGGTATATGTATTTAGTAATTAGCCCATTCATTAAGGTTAATTACTAATATGGTCTTTTGTATTAGGGTTTGATCTCGGCTGGTATAAATATAGAGAATGTCCGAGTTGGAAGTAAGTGATTTTGGTGGCTCATAACCTAATAAGACTGACTCGAGCGACTCCCTCTCCGTGGACTAGTCTTGGCTATTCCAGCTGAGGAAACCACGTAAAGCGTGTGTGTTCAAGTTTTCTTTCAGTTTGCGTATAGTTTGACATGGTACGAAAGCCTTCACGTGATTTCTTGGATAATCGTGGTTTTGTGTGGGAGCCGGCTTGGTGCAGCGTTTGGGTTTTGGATTGGTTGTTGGCGGCTGTCTCGTGGTGCTAGTACAGATGCTTTCGTTTGGTATATTCAAGCTTCTTTTGGTTGGTAACAGCTCCCTTTGGTTGGTGATTTGTGGTTTCGGGTGTGCTTCTCTTTGGTGTACTCTTGTTTTGGCTATTATAATTTGTGTTGCACCTTCGTTCCGTGTTGCTCATGAGGTCCATGGATAACAAGGTTGATGGGTTTTTTGTGCGCTTGACGGGACATGATTTTTCTCTATGGGAATTCCAATTTCGTATCTATGTTCGAGGTCGGCGGATGAGTGGCATATTGGATGATTCTGTGCCGCAATTAGCTGATACTGCTGTGGGAAGGAGAAGGCAGACTGGGAGGCTAGTAATGCTCAGGTAATTTTCTGGATCTTGTCGTCAGTTGATCCCGGAATTGCCTTGAGTCTTCAAGGGCTTTCTACAACCCATAGTATGTGGACGCATCTGAATAGGATTTATTCTCAAACTAATGCTTCTCGGAAGTTTGAGCTAGAGACCGCCATTGCTCGTCTGGAGCAAGGCGACAAAGATATCAGGGCTTTTTGTCAGGCGGCAGTACATCTGTGGACGGAACAGGATCTGTTGCTGTCATCCTCGACTCCGACTGCTGACTCGGGTGCGATGCTGAAAGAAAGGGAGGGTACTTGCCTCATTCCCTTTTTGATGAAGCTGCGGCCGGAATATGAGAGTATAAGGGCTTCCTTGCTTCACCGCAACGTCTCCTCTATGGAAGAGACCCTTGGGGAACTTTTTCGTGAAGAAACCAGGTCGAGGAGTCAAGCTCAGCTGGATGTTCACTCTTCCGATCCTGGTAATGCTTTTTCTATTCAAGGGAATCGACCTTAGTTTCAGCGCACACCTAATGGAGTAGTCATATGTCATTTCTGCAAAGAGCCTTGTCATATACAGTTTCATTGCAAGAAGAAGAATTATCTTATATATAATAGGGGACTACACTTTATTGCCCCAACTTCTCTTTTACTGTTTCATTATTCGTCTTCTAGCGGAAGGAGAAAAGTAAACCTCTTATGTGAGCTATCCCGTTA